AATCTATAGCTAAACATGATTGCGAATAAAGCTAGTTTATTTTCTTCACGTCTTAAGAACTGTGTTTACTTATTTATCTTACATCTATGTAGCATTACTTAGCTTCCAGTGAACCCTCGACCACTCGGTTTTGCAGGCTTTTATCTATGTTTTAATGGTCTAATTTAGTGTAATCAAGAACTAAGATTATCATACGCATATGAAAACTAAGCTAGTAATATGTCATGCCAGATAATATCTTGTGGTCTTTCAAAGCAGAGATGTAGTATTATTATGGTTAGAGACTAGTTAAAACCTAATTTATTTTCAAAGGGAACATGATAACATTTGCCTGGTAGGAGCACTGTTATCAAAGATTGATTCTTTTGCTAGATTTTCAAAGAAATCTGTCATCAAGGTCAATCAGTGATGGTAATCAAAACGACCTATGTCTATCAATAAGAAATACTGTAGCCATCAACCTCTGATAACAGATTGAGGAAAGAGACGATCGAACAGGTTGTAAATGGAATGAACCTATGATTGTGTCAGTATATATATATATTACACATGAATGCAAGCAATGGACATGAATGGTAGCCACATCGATTATTGTTAATATATTGGTTGTGACAATTTCGTGATCAGATCCCTCGGTGATAATTATTTTGGCATGGAATATTTTTTCCCATTGCCTAATTAGTTCATCTTCTAAATATTTAGCTTGAATTGAACATTACAAATTGTGGTATGATAGGTGACAACCAGTTCAAGTAATAGTTCATAGCTTCAGTATTACTTAAGGCCAAATTGTAGGCAATAAATCTTCGCACGTTTTCTTTAGAGTTCATTAACTATGTCTGTTAAGTGTACCACCGATTGTCTGAGAGACTTCTAAGGGGTACCTGTTGTGAGTAATTATAATATGTTTGTAGAAAAAGAGTTAGTAAGATACTCCTCCTGCTACAAGATGAACCTAATCTAGATCACAAGTTATGAACAATGTCCCTGAGACAAATCAGATTTAAATGATCACAAAGTACCTAGAATGTACATAAGATGAATCGGATTTGAATGACCAAAAAGTACCTATAGTGTCCATAAGATGCACCTAAGGACAATGTTCACAATTCGTCTTTGGTGTTATAGGATATATCTGGTGTGGATGATCTAACATATTTACATTTTTTAGCGGATGTATGTGATGAGGAAATTTATAGAGTATTGGGAGTTGTAACTGGGTATTCAAAGTTCTATATCATTTCTAATATTAAGGATGAATAAAAGTCTACTCACAAAACATTTAAAAGTAACAGGAGTTCACGTGTCTAGTGCATTGATTGCTTTAGGTGCACGTAGGACCATAGAAATGTGTATAAAGTTATAATTAGCTATTTTCAACACTATAGAGTAAAAAGTGCTTGAAACCTCCAACTTATTTCTGAGGATATATCACTGTTTATATATTTTGTTGCGTGAAGTATTTGTGTAAGTATTTTGCTGCTGGTGTATTATATCACGTGAAATACTTAGTGTAGTGGCATACTGCTTCTGTATTATATTAAGTGTTTGTTTGTGGTTAAGCACAAAGCTACTCAATGGGCTATCTGTGCTCTGTCTACCGTGGGTACTAAAATCAGAGGTTTAGCGTTAAAAGCCATCAGACCCACCGTTAAGTAAAGTATTCAAATATAGATGTTATACGATTGATGTATTATATTAAGTGTTTGTTTGTAGTTGAGCACAAAGCTACCCAATGGGCTATCTGTGCTCTGTTTACCGTGGGTACTAAAATCAGAGGTTTAGCGTTAAAAGCCATCAGACCCACCGTTAAGTAAAGTATTCAAATATAGATGTTATACGATTGATGTATTATATTAAGTGAAGTATTATGGTGTTTGCGAATTATATTAAATGAAGTATTTGACGCAGGTATTGTACTGCTTTTATTTTGATTTACGTATACTACCTGTGTATTTAATACGTGAATTGTTTAATGTAAGTATTATGCTGCTTGTATATTTTAATACGAGAGTTATTTAGTATGAGTACTATAGTACTCATGTATGTTGTTTAATGTAAGTATTATGCTGCTTGTATATTTTAATACGAGAGTTATTTAGTATGAGTACTATAGTACTCATGTATGTCCTTTACATGAAGTATTTAGTGTAGTAATATATTATTTGTATATTATACGACTTTGAAATATTTGGTGTTAGAATTACACTGCTTGTTATCACATTGAGTGAAGTATTTGGTATTTGTATTTAGCAGCACGTGTATTATAATAGGTGAAGTATTTGGTATAGTTATTAAACTTGTCGTGTATTATATTAAGTGAGATATCTGATGTAGATATAATACTGTTTTTGTTTTACGTTAAGTGATCTATTTGGTGTTCGATGTTCTGGGTAAAGAGTTTCCCGTGTGGTACCACGCCCTCTACAATGGTAAGTATTAAAACATTTCATTTACTGTATCTCTATTTTCTCCCCAGCTTTAAAGGAATCTTTAAAGTTCTTACAGCATTTGAACCGTATTTATAACATGTAAACAAGTACCTAACTTTACTGGAAGAACACGAAAAACTTCACTTAACATAATACATAAAACATATAAAAACAATAATACTACACCATATATTTCACTTAATATGATGCACAAACAGTTTATTACGCACCCTAAATACTCTTACCACTTCCTTTACAACAGACGATATAAACACACACATACATACGTATTCACACTATATTTTCAACATTACATACATAGCACACGGGCACACCAAGTCATCATTGATACATTCTCAAATAACATATTGTGTGCGTGTATAGGGTTTACCAAGGAAATGAATTATAAGAAGATTGCAGGAGTCGATTTTCACGCCCAAGCTCCCTTTCATCAACAAGGGCAGCATTATGCACGCACAATGAGAGGCTTTGGTTAGTAATAACGCCTTTGGTTGCCGCAGAATCAGAGTTCAAGCCGCTCGGCTATGATCCCCACCCCCAACCCACTCCAATAACGTCCACCTTCAGTCGGTGTACAGCAGTGTTCGCTACAGGAGCTTTAATATACAACCAGCATGGTTCATTTCAAGCGCCGTCTGGAGGAAACAGAGTCGGTCAGCACGTGCAAGGTGTGAAGAAATTAAAGCCCTTCTCCTTATTTGATAAATGATTTGGAACCGTCTGAATCGTTCAGTGTGAGGGTAGTGAGAGTTTTTTTCATGACTAGAAATGCAGGAAAAAGGGTTTTCGTGAACGTTCTGAACGTATTAGCACGCAAGATGGAGATCAAGCAAGTTGGGGATTATTCAAAAATAGTTTTCCACTTAAACTTATGCCTTTGAGTATTTAATTTGCGTTAAAGAATCGGACGATCATGTTAAGCACAAAAAGTTATGAAGGTTTCTTGCTTAACGATCCATTGATGCATTTATCACCAGTGTCGAACTGCAACCACACATACATTAATTGAGTAGGTTTCAAGACTCCAAAACTGAAACAAAATTCGAGGTGAAATTTTACTCCTAAAACAGTGAATAGAACAACGTATGTTGTGTCAAAATGATGACACTTACCTTTCTAGGGTATATTTTACCCTTTCTACACAGTAGTGTGTGCACTAGGTTTGTTTGTCTGTCCTTTACGAGTGTGTTCTTTTAGATATTTAGTTCCATTGTTTTCAATTAAGAACATAATTTAAGGTATGGACATGCTTGTTTTGTATTATTTTTTTAGATGTTGAAATTATAATAACTGTGCGTAACTTTATTTTAAATATATATATATGTGTGTGTATGTGTGTGTGGTGTGTAAATGAAGAGTGCATCATTCTAAAGCATTGAATGAGGCAGTATAATGAAAATTAATTGTTTTAAAAATAAAAATAGCATTTCAGCTCCATTGTCAATAGTGCTCATTCTGATCATAATGATTAGACACTATTGCCCAGTGTTGTTGTTGCAATTGTAAAAAGTTTCTATCTTAGACCACACATATTTAAAACCTTTCCGTAGGCCTTCCACTCTACAAGGAATCGACTTCTTAGATCATTTTTAAGCAGACCATTCGCACAAAGGTTCACTGGAACTGCATAAGTGAACTTGACAAACTTAGGGTTGGGTGGAACTGCTGAAACTTGACATATTTGACCACTTTTCTCGAAAAACGGTCGTCAATTTCTAGGAACGGCTGTAAGCTTAATTATTGTTAACAGTGCTAGGAGATATGCTCAGCTTCATCACAATGGTTTTCTGATTCAGGGCAATTTCATTTGTGTGGTTTCCAAGCCAGTTGATGTACTAAACATTTTACTCTGTGAGGTTTTGCGCTTCCACATTTAAGATATAAAACTTGCAAAATAAAACCGATGAAAATAAGCTAAGAATATGTAGTACGGAAGAAAACACACTGCTTAACCATTTTATATTATTCAATATACTTAATCACGTAGTAGTAAAAAAAACAAACTAAAACGAAATATCAACAAAATAATAATGCTATTTTTTCATGTTAAGTTCAATTTACGGTGATTGAAACACAATATCAACCACATTTATGTTTTACTGATAAGCGTTGATCGCACAGTATAAGAAATATGATTCAGATGAGAGCGTTGTCCTTAAACCTGTTTCCTCCACTGTAAATCGAGCTCAATATAATGACAATAATTGTCAATCTCCTCAATTTCCATTGAAAAAGGCTTCAATAAAGAATGGTGATATTAGTCTTAAACTACAAATTTTGACAACCTTTCTACACGCTCATCACTGTGCATGAACACCGGCTTCCGAGATGATGTTTTAGCAGGCCAAAGGCGCATAATTCCATTACAACTTAATCGGGAGACTTTATAGGTATGCAGTCAAATGGTGTATTAAGATTATAATTTCTTTAGTCACTTTTTTGTTTGTGAGAAACGTCCGTTGAATTTGAGTTGTGGCTGGAAGATTGTGTACGTTTGCTTATGAGCCGTTGCTAACCTCTAACCTTTGTATATTTTTGGTACCTTACCCAGGAGATATGCCCAGTTTAATCCCAATAGGTTTTTGGGTCGGAAGGTTCACTTTCTTAACCAATGTATATATTTTGTAGAGGAGGGCGTTGCTCCAGATTTGCCAAGGGTGTAATTTTTGAGGCTTTACTTCGACACCTCTCTGTTAGTTTCCAGGGCTTTGGAGACTCTCTTCTTGAAAACGTTGCGTTCTTTATCTCTACATTGTTTATCGATTTCATTATAAGAACATATTTTTTGGGAAGGGGCTATGTCACACTATCCAGGCATAAATCTATCCGTAGAGGCAATGCATGTCGACTTGTAAGAAATTCGCTGTACGTAATACGTAGGCTCAACACATCACTTGTGACGTCACGACTCCGATCTGCAAAAACATTTCATTGCATTAGCATTATGGTTCTCATAGAGTGTAATTAATCTTCCACTGATAGTTTAAATGCGATCTAAAATCACTGTGTATATTTAAAAACACGCAGAAAAAAATTTCTTTGTATGAAGTGGAACTTTACTCTTAGCATTTAATTGTATAATTATTCAATACACAATATGTTGAAAATGTGTCTATCTAAACAATTGAACACAAAATTAGAAACCTGGTGATTAAACTGTTTACAGATTAACTGAACATAATAAAGGTCTTACTAAATCCAGGTTTAAATAGCCCTAAAAGTTGGTGAACACGATCCATTTGAATTAATGCTTACGGTTAACTTTAATCTCGATTTCTTTTAGGTTTCTACTCATGCATAACTTACAAGTTTTATCTTAGCTTTGAATTCATTTACCATGTGGTGCTGTCCACCATGCTTAACTTTGGTTAACTCTTATTAAATACAAATGTTGAATTAAAATAGCGAATTTTCACTTCTTTCTTTGGTGTTAACAGTAAAGTTTATAGTTTGTTCAGTGCAGTGTTACTTATTAGTTATGTTGAAAATTGAGTTTTTACGATAACTAGTGAAATGATATTGCTCGAGACTTTGCTTTTATATGTTTGTGTGAGTTGGTATAATTGCACATTAAAATCACAGACTTAAGCTTTCTTTATTCTGTAAAGTACCTTTGTACTTTTATAATTCCATGGTTTAATGCTGACTCCTCACATGTTGTCTCACCTATTAAATCAGGAAACTCAGTCCCCATCTGTCGTAACAACTGCTATACGTGGTAATTCACCACTTGTCGAATCAGTTACTATAGGTAGTAACTTAGCACGTGTCGTAATGATTTATGCATAATTCAGAAATCATTACCTATAACCTTTGGTTTTTGATTTTCCTGAAGTATAATATTTTTATTAGTTATATTAGATATATTTTTATTAGATCTAAGGCCCATATAAGGACTTTTCTTTATGACTAATATTTTTTTCATGTTTCTGAAATATTATATATAATGTGGAATTATTTACGATCTCGACTCGCACTCTGCAGGTCGCGGGTTCGAATCCCCGTCACGCCAAAAACTTGCTCACCCGGTGTCCGGACTAGGACGCCAGTCCTACTCCCGGATACTCACCTCAAAAAAAAAAAAAATTGGAAGTGTGAGAAACACCATATGAAACTACTATTATTTACTATGGGGTGAATGTTAATGCTCTATGAGGGTCATACAAGGCCAATATTTTTTAACTAGTTGGGGTCGTAATGACCACATGATGTAAGATTAAGCAAATCATTGACTATATATATAAATATATACAATATTTTATTTGATGACTATGATTTTTCAACTTTCAACTCACTTGAATAAGTAAATATAGATTTGTGTGGGAAAGTGCCGTTTCAAATCAAAATGGTCATCTTAAAAAAACGCCAACATTTATTTTATGCCATTTTAGATGCTAGCCACGCTTATTAAGCAATGAAGAACTAGTTTTGTCGGGTGCACGCGGCGAGGTGGCTATCTTCTTCGTACTGTCACACGCCGCACGTGCGAGGTTTGCCTCAGTAAAGTACCTTCAGCGGCAGAAACTCACAAGATGAAAGTTCACAATGATAGATGAAGCAAAATAATACGAATAACCACCATGTCGAATTGACGAGAAAGTGGGTCTGCGAGAATCCATACTGTAGCAGTTTTCCTGTTTCAACATTAATCTTCAGCCTCTACGAAGCAAACTGTATACATGACCACAGACTAAACATTGTGACTCGCTGTAACGAATAACGAAAAGAAGAATGACCGTCTGTTCTGGGTACTAGCTCCTTATATATTATGTTTAAAAATGTGTATTCATTGTAATTAATACACGCCCAGTACATGAAATATTTTCAAGTATAAAAATCTAGAATATAAACCACTTCTTTCACAAAACTTTCAGGATATTATCTTTTATAAGAATATTATTTTTGTTTTCATGACCAATCCTTTTCCCATATTATTTGAACTGCCTTAATTTTTGTTTTTAGTTTCCTAATTTTACTTTTATCGTTTCAAACTTCTTCACGTAGAGGGATTAATGGGAGGTTGGGTTCAATTCTTTCGTTTGTCAAGAGACAGATAGTATCCTAGGCCCGGCATGGCCAGGTGGTTAAGGCACTCGACTCGCAATCTGCAGGTCGCGGGTTCAAATCCCCGTCACACCAAACATGCTCGCCCTTTCAGCCGTGCGGGTGTTATAATGTGACGGTCAATCCCACTATTCGTTAGTAAAAGAGTAGCCCAAGAGTTGGCGGTGGGTGGTGATGACTAGCTGCCTTCCCTCTAGTCTTACGATGATAAATTAGGGACGGCTAACGCAGATAGCCCTCGTGTAGCTTTGCGCGAAGTTAAAAAAACAAACAAACATATAGTATCCTAAACAAATGTTAATTCTTATCTACGTCAAGTTAATGGTATATAAAGAGTTTGCACTTTCTTTAAAAACTCACTTTACCGCTACTGTTTGAAGCTTGTTTCTTTAGCCCCAGATCGTGTACCCAAAGCGGAACATTTGAATCATTTGTTTTGTTTGAACTCGTGTGCACCAAATAATGTAAAACTCAAGAATTAAAATTCAGATTGGATTTCTAAAAGTAGTGCCCTTCTATTTTTAAAGGGTCTCTATGAGAAGATATATCAGTCAATACAAATATTTGTTTCACAGAATTCGTTTGATTTGCATTAATTTTATCGTTGACAAAAATCTTGAATAATTAAGTTATTTGTGCAATGGCAAATATCTTAACTAATTAGGGAGACGTTTTAAGAAATTAATCAACTTTGATTGTGTTACACGAATAAACATTGCACGAAGGATCTGATAGAACTGATTTCTGAAGCTGTTAAACAAAAAGTTTAGAAATTGCGACAGTCTCAGTTACTACGTGCTTGATGCTTAAAAATATCTTGACAAATAAACACATAGATAATTCTACTTATGTTCCTTTCCGAAACTCTAAATCTACCGTTTATTTCTTTATTTATTTAGCATGTTCCATTGTTGTTATTATTATCCCGCCACTAATGCAAATAATAACTGATGATGAATAAGTTACAAATTTAAACTAATTTTAAATATACAAAGAAAGCAAATAATTTCTATGAAGTTTAATAGAACATGATAAAGCCATACCTTGTATATTGGCAAAGTGCCGCATTATTACAGACGAAACATGTTGCTATGACAACACATTGTCGTGTTAACTGGTAATGTCCAGTAGGTGGCTCTACCTACAGGCGTGGATCAGAAAGTATGATTAATTTTGGATTTCCAAGAGTTTAGGTCTTCGAAGCACTGCATAAAGAAATTACAAAGCACGAGTTAAATCTGATGTTATCTCAGAAACAAATGATTTTCATCAGTTTTCCTTCAAGTAAAAAAAATAAATAAAAAAAATATGTGAGTATTCAGTTTTTGGTATGTCTATTCAAAATCTAAGATGAAATGTACAAAGTCAAGAATACAGTACTGGAACTAATTGTTTCTATCTTTATCTTATCTTTGTTTATTAGCTTTCAGCCAACAATAATTGAATTACAAACTGTCAGTGTGACTATCTCTAACATTGTAAGACATACTCCGGAGAACATCAACCCTAAAATTTTTATAAAAATGTGCAAATTACCCAATCTATTAAGTAGTGATTTTTACTTCGATAAAGAGTGACAGAAAACCTTGTCACAAAATTGTAGAAACACGAAAGCAACCCAAAGAAATGATATAACAAGTTATTACGAGAAGGTTGTAGCGATTACACACCAGTTGTTGTCAGAATTAGTAGCCTATATGATCACATAATTCCAATTATTAACTAGACAGGCAGAAGGAGAGTGCAATCCCTGCTTTACAATGTTTTGGAAATTTGCATAAGCAACCTGAAATATAAAACAAAGAATTCCTCGCCCTCAACAGTGTATGTCTTGTTGCCAAGATCAACTTTGTAGTCCAAGGTATTGTAGAGCTTTGGCTGTGTTCCAAAACGCCATTAGCCTCTGTTGAAATGAAAGTGGTTGATCTACAACACGAACTTGAATTTTCACGTGCATTAACCAAAAGTTAATAATTTGGTCTTTGAAAAAACACACAATATTTGTACCAAAATTGACCAAAATCAGACGAGATATTTTCGAGTTACCTTTTTCACACTCAGACGAATACACAGACAGTAATAGGCAAAGTGACTAAACCATGAACTGGTTACTCGTTAAGTAACTAACAGACTCAGAACCTCATTAAATCATTATTTTATTGACTTTTTGACTAACTCAATAATGAGTCATAATCTATTGTAGCGTAACTCGCTCTTTATATCTGGCTCAAACTGTCCTAAATCTTAAGTTAAGCCTAGTATTCACGTAACGTCCAACCTCCTTCTGATCAAACAACAATACAAACGGTTAAATTAAAAACATAGCCTACAACAATATCGATAAGTAAGGACTACAGAAAAAACTATCTTATTTCTATAAGTATATCAGAATAAAAACTATACATTTAACTAATATATGGTGCGGGTTGGCCTTGTAGTAGAGCTCTGGATTTCAGAGCTAGTTCGAATACGTGCGATATTTAAAAAAAATCCCAGTCCTTTGTTATGAATGCGTTATAAGAGTGACAGTCAAACCCTTGATATGGATTGTAGATGGTATGGTGCTGCTGACTTGGTACCTTCCTCTTGGTCAGCAGTTCAAAATTAGAGATGGCGATAGAAAGACTTAAAACTTTGCCATAAATACAAAATCAAAATAGTTAATATAACTTTAACCCATGTATTCGACACTTTTACAATAATAAAAACAACCCTGTAAAGGTTAAGGCAAATATGTAATCTTCAACACTGCCCGCTATTTTATCATGAGCTTCTGTTATTGATTTTTACCATGAAACTACACGTTTCTTAGACAAGGTTTCATTTTCTCTTTATTTAGATCATAAAGTTAAACCCTGGAGCTGTATCCTGATATCTCATAGTGTGTGTAACGTTCCAGTCCTCTGTCGGGGTATAAATATGCATTGAAAATTTAGTTCGAGAGATAGATCTAGACCGTGTGATTGTGAGTTTAGCCATAAATAGCATATAGTGGCGATTATTAAAGTGAACTTATCACAAACTGTATTGTAATAACAGAGCAGGAAGAATAATTCATCTTGTCAAATTGTGTTCTAAAGTAATTGAACCAGCCTGTACGGGCTTTGACGAAAAAGAGACAATTGTTCAAAGCTCTGGATACAGCTGTGATAACCAACAGTGGTGTAATGGACATTGGTATATATGCTTGACTTGTTTTAATATATTATTTTAAAACAAGTGGATTGTGTACTGTTTGTTTATTTTTTAAATTTATCACCAAAAAGTCACAGACACCTACAGTAAAGAATCCGGGTCATACATAAAACCTGAAAATGTTTTTCTCAAACATCCATACTTTTCAGAGCCGATTCGTAAAAATGTACACACACATATTAAGATTGTGCAAATAAAAAACAATAACACAAATTGTTATTTTAACCGAATAGTTGGACTTGATCGTCACTCCTATAACGCACTAACAATTCCAAAGTGTGAAACATGATTTTGCGGCAACCGCACACGAGTCATGGAACCTACGATTCACAGTACAGTACGGTAAGTTCTACGCCATGTAGTTTCGACAGCAACTCATAATTTGTTTATTAATACGTTTAAAATATTTCTTCTCGAGAGTTCCTTTTACTTCGTCAGTTCCGTTTTCGAGATCCAAAAGTTTGCAAGTATTCACTCACACTTTAAAAACCTAATGGCACATGCATTTCGACTTAATAATTGTCACTGATTTTATGTTGAAATGAGGTGTTCCGAAAAAACGCTGTGACTTCATAGTTGAAGTTAATTTGATCATTGCGTGAGAACATTGAAAGGAAACATTCCATATTTATATCCGGAGTTTAAAACGGCAGTAGCTACAGTTGTCATAACGTTTGTTTGTTATGACGATAGCAGCGTTCAACTGCAGACATACCGCTGTGCCACTGGGGAGGGGGGCAGGTACAATGCTAAAAACCGGGTTGCGATAACAGTGGTGGCAGAGCACAGATAGCCCATTGTGTAGCTCTGTGCTTAACTACAAACAAGCAAACAAACAATCCTAAGCTTCGAAAACATATACATGAAAATATTTATTTCAATCACAAAACGTATAAGCCATATTTTCATATCACACTTTATATACAGCCTCAATTCTTATGTTATTATAATTAAATTTCAAGTCCTTGTTTGGTAGACTGTTTACTAGTTGTTTTTTGTGACATTTTCTTCGCCAGTTTTTGATGATAATTTTTTAAACAAATATCATGTTTTGGCGCTACTATTCCCAGGTAGATAGGTTTCGAAGATGCTCTCATAACTAGCTTTGGACAACCTAAAACAAAAATAAGGTAATATTTGGTTCCATGTATAGCAGTGGTCTTATTTCTTGTTATTTGGTTGGTCTATTTTCTTTTTCTTACCGCAGGGTAGCAGCTATACTGCAGAGATGCTGCGGACAGGCGTCAAAGCTCCTGTTAATTAATTCTTTGATATTCTTAACATGATGCTTCAAACCCAGAGGAGTAACTCGAAACAAAAGGCTTAGATTAATCTTCTAGTATATTGTTTCTCACCAAAAACTGGTAAAGAAAATGTCAGCAAACATGCACACAATGATGTACAATTAAACATACTGAGGATATAGCTGGTAGTAGCTAAACTGTATAATCTATTAAACATTCTGAAGATATAGCTGGTAGTAGCTAAACTGTATAATCTATTAAACATACTGAGGATATAGCTGGTAGTAGCTAAACTGTATAATCTATTAAACATACTGAGGATATAGCTGGTAGTAGCTAAACTGTATAATCTATTAAACATACTGAGGATATAGCTGGTAGTAGCTAAACTGTATAATCTA